ATAATTTTTGGGGTATCGAAAAGTACCAACGTTTCGGTATACCGTGCAAAACTAGTAGGGGTTTGTGTGTGTTGCCCACAGATCCAGTTGCTGTGTGTTTGACTGTGTTGGAGTGGACAATGAGGAGGGGTAAGCAGGTGTCCTCTTTCACCCACAAGAAAGCGTGATTAGGCTATTCTAGCCAACAGTGTCCTAAAGCAGGGTTTAATTTTCAGCCCAGAGTGTTATAATATAGCCTAGCTGGCTCGGCTCACTGGAATAGTACCCGCTGTGGATTCAAAAACGACCCCCACCATCAGACGTAGGAAAAGCGTCACAGCTTAGGTTGATTATTTATGGAACATATATAATGGTGCTTTCAAGATAACTGGGAACTCTGAAAAAAACAATGTCAAATCATGATGTCAATGATCTTTAGGTCGGAAAGTCGGAGCTCTAGAAAGATGTCAGAGTTTCCGACTTGGAATTCCGAGTTCGATGACCGTTCAAAATATTTTTCCCCAGTCAGAGCTCGTCCCCCCCCTCCCCAAGTTCCCTGTTGCCTTGAATGCTCGGAAGTCGGACATTTCCAAGTTCCCAGTTGTCTTGAACGCTCGCAAGTTGGAGATTTCCAAGTTCCCAGTTGTTTTGAACGTCATAAGTACACGGTCACACAGTGTGCCAATGGCCTGAGTAGCACGTGCCAGTCCGGTGGGAGGGAGGGCTGTTTGAGGTCACAGAGAGGAGGACAGATTATTCCCTGTAAAGTCCTCCAGTGTAGAGCTCTGCCGGTCTCTTTCTTCAGTTTCAGAGGGGGACAAGACGCCCGCCCAGTGGTCAGTGCCTGGATGCCTTTGTCCAGGCGCTGTCCAGCACAGCGCAAAGATCACCTGACAGTCTCATGTTGTTGTGTGCATTTAGTTCAGCGCTATACTTAGCCACACTCTGGGGGAGAGAGGGGGAAAGACTGGCAGACGCACAATGATGCCCAGGTACCCAGTAATATTTACCCAGTTTGCTGCTTATTGCGTGCATCGTTATTGTGGGGTTTTTGTGATACTGTTTTAGGCTTTGACTGTGTTGGATTTGAATGTGGTTAGAATTCCTAACTGGAGGGTATTTTCAGCTTCACAGAGAGAGCTGCAGAGTGTGTGTGTTGTGCTCGGATCTACTCGTTTTTCAGCGGTGGTGCTATAGATTATCACAATTAGCAAGGGGGGGTTGAGTGCATTACTACTAGCGGAGGCCAGCGAGTTCCAGTCATTTAGCCAATGACTATCCATTTAAAAGCAAGAAGAAGTGTGTGTATATAAAGACATATTTTTTACAGCGGCTGCTGCTAAATGAATATAGGAGAGACAGTGGTGTAAATGTGCTGCAATGTTATGCAACTTAATGTGGTGGAGATTTACTGCTCTGACGGCTTAGAGTTGCTTCTTTATTTGGAACCAGTGTTTACCGCCTTTTAGTCAAAGGCTGTCTGTCTTCTGTAATTTTTAGTGAGTTTACTTTGGCACTGCAGGGCTCCGGCTCACACATTGCTTATTTGTAGCTCTGATTGATAGACTTGATCTATAAGGAAATTGTTGTTGTTATTACGAAGGCGAACTAGTAGTACATTTTAAACAATCATAAACTTAGGGAGAGATAGAGAAACACTTGTATGCTTTGAGAGATGGCTTCTACAAGGAAATGAATGTTGTTTCTAGGCCTTTTGTGTAGGCTCTTTATAGGCTCAGTCCTAATGGAGGTCAGTGCTGCTGTATGTAACAGTCTTGTAGTCATGTGCTGATATTTTTATGAATGGCTCTGCTGATGTCTGACTGTCACAGGGTCTGTTTCCTTGTTTCTCCTCTCTCTCTCTCCCTGGTTCAATGATACAAAGTTCTTAAACTGCTCCACCTTCTCCTCTGCTGACTTCTGCTCTGATAAGAGAGTGCTGATTCGACTCAATTGAGTATCCTAGCTGCTGAAATGATTTGCAAAGCTTGTTTTGTTTTTATAGTCTGTTTGTTAGGCTGAATCGTATTACTCCCAAGGTTATATGAGAAGATGGCTATCAAAGCAGCGTGCTGAGCAGTAATAACGTGGTCTTGAAACATTGACAGGGGCTCTAGGCTGGCGGGACTGTCATTGGATCCCATAATGTAGGCTGTACAGTATTTACGTCACACTGCCTAAAACTGAAGGCCATAGTGAGACTAGTTGGATATGAATAGCCTAATGTGTGTTGGTGACAAATCTGTTCTTCATCCGTCAGTGAATACCTCATGCATGCCTCAGAGCGGACATCATTGATGACTTAGTTGTCTGGGGGGAATAGGTTTCTGAACAGATGGAGCTATGGAAAACCTGGGCTGTCTCAGGCTGCGTCCCAATTCAGACCCCAGAGCAGAGCAGAGGTCAAAAGTAGTGCACTATATAGGGAATAGGGTGCCACTTGGGATGCAGGCAGAGTGTTTGACTAGCTATTCTGCTCTGCTCTCTACAATTGGGATGGGAGTATTCTTGGCCTGCCTTTAGAATGCTGATTCATCCCAGGGTAGGCCTCATGGACAAGGCTGGAACTTTGGTGTCCTTTACTGAGTCCAAGGATGATGACTAGGCTTCATGTACGGTACCATCACCTTATTTGCTTTCTAGCCTTAATTTCTTGAATCTTGTTTTTTGTTAATCTGCTTGATTAGTGCTGTCATTGAGTGAAGGTTTGATGATGGGGACATAAAGGGAATATTGTACCCAGATAATTGTGACGCTGAATCAAGTTGAATAATATATAGCCATTATGTGTTAGGCTAATAATGGGGCGGCAGGTAGCTTAGTGGTTAAGAGCGTTGTGCCAGTAACCAAAAGGTCGCTGGTTCTAATCCCCGCGCCAACTAGGTGAAAAATCTGTCGATGTGCCCTTGAGCAAGGCACTTAACCCTAATTGCTCCTGTCAGTCGCTCTGGATAAGAGCGTCTGCTAAATGACTAAAATGTAAATATGTTTTGAACAATTTTGAGATGAGCAATCAGCAATGGAGAATTTGATTTAAAAGTTCCTTCATCAATCAAATGTATTTATAAAAACCTTTTTACATCAGCAGATGTCACAATGTGCTTTATACAGAAACCCAACCTAAAACCCCAAAGAGCAAGCACTGCAGATGTAGAAGCATGGTGGCTAGGAAAAACTCCCTAGAAAGGCAGGAACCTAGGAAGAAACCTAGAGAGGAATCAGGCTCTGAGGGGTGGCCAGTCCCCTTCTGGCTGTGCCGGTGGAGATCATTCTTCAAGATGTTCAAACGCTCATAGATGACCAGCAGTGTCAAATAATAATCACAGTGGTTATGAAGGGTGCAACAGGTCAGCACCTCAGGAGTAAATGTCAGTTGGCTTTTCATAGCCGAGCATTCAGAGGTCGAGACAGCAGGTGCGGTAGAGCGAGAGAGAGGGTCAAAACAGCAGGTCCGGAATAAGGTAGCAGGTCCGGTGAACAGGTCTGGATTCCATAGCCGCTTGCAGAAAAGCAGAAACTGGATCAGCAATACGAGCAGGTGGACTGGGACAGCCAGGAGTCGCCAGGCCAGGTAGTCCTGAAACATGGTCTTAGGGCTCAGGTCCTCCGGGATGGGAGAGGGAGCGAGAGAGAGATGGGAGAATTAGAGGGAGCATACTTAAGACCACACAGGACACCAGATAAGACAGGAGAAATACACCAGATAGGACAGACTGACCCTAGCCACCCCGGCACATAGACTATTGCAGCATAGATACTGGGGACTGAGACGGGGGGCTTTAGACTCTAGGCTTAATAAGAACTAATCACACGGCTGGTGGTGTGGTGGAGGCTGGTGGGTGGCCATAGCTGTCTCTGCTCCCCCCTGTGGTGGAGGATAGTGGGTGGCCATAGCTGTCTCTGCTCCCCTCTGTGGTGGAGGATAGTGGGTGACCATAGCTGTCTCTGCTCCCCCCCTGTGGTGGAGGATAGTGGGTGACCATAGCTGTCTCTGCTCCCCCCTGTGGTGGAGGATAGTGGGTGACCATAGCTGTCTCTGCTCCCCCCTGTGGTGGAGGATAGTGGGTGACCATAGCTGTCTCTGCTCCCCCCTGTGGTGGAGGATAGTGGGTGACCATAGCTGTCTCTGCTCCCCCCCTGTGGTGGAGGATAGTGGGTGACCATAGCTGTCTTTGCTCCCCCCTGTGGTGGAGGATAGTGGGTGACCATAGCTGTCTCTGCTCCCCCCTGTGGTGGAGGATAGTGGGTGACCATAGCTGTCTCTGCTCCCCCCTGTGGTGGAGGATAGTGGGTGACCATAGCTGTCTCTGCTCCCCTCTGTGTTGGAGGATAGTGGGTGACCATAGCTGTCTCTGCTCCCCCCTGTGGTGGAGGATAGTGGGTGACTATAGCTGTCTTTGCTCCCCCCTGTGGTGGAGGATAGTGGGTGACCATAGCTGTCTCTGCTCCCCCCTGTGGTGGAGGATAGTGGGTGACCATAGCTGTCTCTGCTCCCCCCTGTGGTGGAGGATAGTGGGTGACCATAGCTGTCTCTGCTCCCCCCTGTGGTGGAGGATAGTGGGTGACCATAGCTGTCTCTGCTCCCCCCTGTGGTGGAGGATAGTGGGTGACCATAGCCGTCTCTCGTCCCCATCAGGCAGGCGACGGTATGATGGATGGAATGGCAGCAATGGCACGACGACCCAAAGGGCTGACGACCCAAAAGGCTGACGACCCAAAGGGCTGACGACCCAAAGGGCTGACGGATTAAGAGTTTATTAACCAACTGTCAGTCCATCACTGTCACCTCGCTTTACATTTTATGATTATTCATACTTATGTAACCAGACCCAGTTTCATTTGATGGCCTTTGCTACTTTGACTGTGTGAGGACAGGTCTGACTGGGGAATGTCTGTCTCGACGTGCTGTTGATGTTTTGGGAGTTTGACAGTTTTAGTAGAAGGTCTACATTCATTGCTAGTAGTGCCAACGTGGTCATATGCTTCATCCTTGTGTCCTCTATCCTCCCTCCTTTTCTCTCTCCAGCTGGTCATCCCCACAGCTGGACCCTAGCCAGATCAGATTGATACTGTACCAAGACTGTGAGCGACGGGGGAGAAATGTCCTCTTCGACTCCAGTGCCAAAAAGAGGAGCGCGGAGGATGCCCCTGCTTCGGTGAGTGACACTGGGGTGAGGGATAAGTGTGACTGACTGACGGGGGTGTTTTATGGGGATGTACACCACAGTGTGGGGGAAATAGGAAATGCTGTCTAGAGCTACTCCTGTGGCTATATTAAAGAGGGCTTGACTGGTTTGAACTGGAGCTCAGATCTCCAATAATAATGGCATCAGCTGACACCCGCCACTGATGTGTAAGCATACTTCCAGACTCACATGACCACAGTCTCTGTGACTGACTCCCTCTCGCAAGTCTTCAGCCCTTTTGTAATTGTGCTGTCATGGGTTACTTGCTGCAATCTACTGTGGTGTTGACAAATAGAATGTGTGCATTTACTTTAACCTGTTCTAAATCCTTGTTGTACATGTTAGGATTAGAAAGCAATTAGTTGAATGGATAAGGGCAATCATTAGCTATGCCTGTCTATTCAACAAGTGTGTCCTATGTTTGTCATTGCCAAGCAATGCATTTCTGCAGCATGGTTAACGTGAAGTCTGACCCCTAGCACATCATGCTTTATTTGCCTGATATTGTTTCGAGAGAGAGAGAGAGAGAGAGAGAGAGAGAGAGAGAAGAGAGAGAGAGAGAGAGAGAGAGAGAGAGAGAGAGAGAGAGAGGAGAAGGAGGAGAGAGAGAGAGAGCGAGAGAGGCAGAGAGATGAGATATAGCAGAGAGAGAAGAGATCGAGAGAATAGCGAATGAGAGCAAGAGATCTGCTATAGAGAGGAGAGCTCCTCTCTTTCCGCTCTATCGATCGACTTAGAAACGCTCGAGAGAGCATCTCTTAGGGGAGAGCAAGTCGGCTCCGAAGGCTTCTTAGGAGAGAAGCTAGAGAGAGAAGGGGAGAAATCTAGAGATCTAGCTTAGAGAAGCAAGCTAATGGTTGAAGGCAAAGCTATAAAGGGGGGCAAGTAAGAGATAAGCTAGAGATCTAGAAGATAAGCAATGGTGGAGGGGAGCATGAGTATGCAAGCTAGAGAGAGGGGTAGCAGAGCTAGAGGGAGAGCAATGAGAGGGAGGTAGTTCCAGCTCGCAAGTTCCTGAGGAAGTCCTATGACAGCCATTCACATGTTCCAGGCCTTTTTGTTCTCTATCGGGGCAGGCCAGACATTTGTTTGATGCGAGCCATTACCATAGCAAAGCAAGGCACGCAGTCCACAAAAGCATTCCAGTGCAATATAGGGTGCCATTCTCTGGCACATCACATGGGGGAAAGCAGATTGGAGTTTAGTTTGTATGGATTTGTGACTAACGGATAGAACATTGTATGCTCTGACATCAATCATCTCATATCAAGAGGTAAAGAAAGCCTGTGTAAATACTGTATGTTGGTTGTGTTTGCTTAGAAATACGAGACAGAGGCCTGATTTGTTATTATTGTATTTTTATTACTTCACTAACATATTTAGTTTCTTCCAAACTAGTGCACTCAATACACTGTATTTAAGTGATGTAGGCCTATAACATAAAGCATTAACAGAACAACGTTTTAGTTGCTATACGGTCATATTATTTGCGGATATATTGTACTGTTACACACACTAGGAATGCAACAGTATATGTAAGAATACTGTGTGCCCTAAATACATATAGTACACTGTGCAAAATATATGCAGCATTAGTGTTTAAAGATCAGAAAACAGCTCAAATCCTAGGACAGAGACTATATGCCTATTCTTTATGTGATAGGCGTGACTAAACACTCGTTACCTGGTGACTCACCCTGAATTTAATTCCGCTGCTCTATCGATCACTACATACATTGTCTGAAACTGCCATCCTAGAAGTCGTTTGTGACTTCAAAATGAGGAGCATTGTTTACAGAAATTAATCAGCGATTGGAGTCTCTAATGAATCAGAGTATCAAAGTTGTTAACGCCATCATGTAGGCCGGCGCTGGCCCAACCCATCGGTTTCTGGGACAAATCAGAATGGTCAGAATGTTTTCGCATTCTAGAACTCGTCAAGGAGGGAGGCAAATCCAGACTCATCGTGGAGAAGAAACGTCACTTTTGCCGGAGCAATGTAAAAGGGTAGCCAGTCAAAAACACTTGCACCAACATCCCAAATAGTGAAACTAGAGAAACTCCTATGCTAGGACCAGGGCCATATTCTACATATGTGAATGTGTTATTTGTGTGGTCTTCCCCACAGCAGAAGATGTGCAGTAGCGAGGCCCAGGTAAAGATGTATGGGAAGTGCTGCCAGCTGAGGCCTACAGCGGGCAGCTCCAACTCTCTGGACAGCTCCTGCGCCTCCGAGCCCCGGGAACCCAGGGAACAAGGGCTGCGCTTCCAGGTGAGAACGTAGTGTGTGATAGAGGGTGCACTTGGACCAAAGCCTGTTTTAGAATGGGAAGTTTCATTGATAGATGAGCTCTCTTGTACATCTCTATGAGTGAGAACAGTCCCTATATCATGATCAAACGACCCTCAAAACCTATTATGTCAGTCCCGTTCCACCTTCTTCACCCTCTCTCTTCACCTGCTCTCTGTTCTCCACCTCCTTTCCCTCTCTCCCCCTCTCCCCCTCCTCTCCTGTGTCTCAGGGGTTGCGGTGTTCATCTGACGCCAACATGTTGGGGGAGATGATGTTTGGCTCGGTGGCCATGAGCTACAAGGGCTCCACACTCAAGATCCACCAGATACGGTGAGATCCAGGGAACAAGGCAAGAGGGGGAGGGAAGTCAGTTACAGTTAGTATGTCAGGATTTCCGTTAGCCGGTAATAGCCGTTTTTTGGCAAAAAATTATAATATGAAAAGCCGATTTAAATAAAATTGACGCCGGCCAATTGTAAAAAATAAAAATAAAATCCCATTGCGAAATAATGCATTTTAGCCTGTTCATTGATTGAAATACTGGTCGATGTAGCGCGAGAGCTGCTGCTACAGCTCATCAAACAGCTGTTTGTTGCTGCTGGAGTGAAACGTGTGCTTTTCATAAGCCCAATCATTGCACAACAGTTCTAAATGTAATCACGTGTTAAAAACAATGGCCACAATTAAAAATGGCTACTAAATGTATTTGTATTTTTCAACTGGTAATTGAAGTGTGCTTCCCATTCAAGTGCATAGGCAGCTAGGCAGGCTTCAGTGTGTCATACACAACTTTGCAATGAGCTGGAGGCAGTATGCATTTTGAAAACGTATACTTAATTGTTTGAAACCTGAACGTTTCACTACATATTATGTCTTACCTTGCTTCAAAGTAGCCTAGCCAAAATCCAACCAAACGTACAGGAAATTATTTTATGCCATTGAAACCAGTAGCCCATTTCTCTCCCGTTCTATTGGTTTTGTAATCAACTTTTTTTTAAATTGTCCAGTAGCCAAAGGCACAATTCTAGTCATATGATCAACCCATGCTAGTTGTTGCATCTTTAAATCTCCCCTCTTTCTAAATTTTGAATGGATATTTTCATCGGTTTCATGAAACCGCTCGCATGTGCGGTGTGCTTTTGACAAAGGTTTTCCCGCTAATTGCATTATGGAACGAACATTCAGAATGTGAAGCTAAACGTTCTGATCTGTTGCATGAGCCTCATTGCTTTCTAACGGTTTTTGGATGTAGCCGAGGCCTGCTGGTTGTATGAATTTGGGATCTATCGTCCCACAACTGTCCCAGAGTGTTTGGAATATACTTTTTATTTCTCGCACAGAACGACAAGCCGACCAATAGAATAGGTAAACTTTTCTACTATAGTGGAATGTAGATTGACATAGGCTAGTGATTTTGCTGTTCATTGTTGGCTGAGGAAAATGCTGTTGCATCCTCGAGTTGCATGTTCTTTTAAGATTAAATGCTAAATGTGATTTCTGTCATCCTGAGCACTGTGGGTGGATGCCCTAATCAGGTTATGCACCCAATGCAAATTGGCCCGGGAAATTTCTTTAATGTCCAGTAAAATGTAAATGCTGCGGGTCAAATGTCCAGCGCCACATTTTCCTAACGGAAACCCTGCAGTCTGTCCCACACAGCACTTTGAAGCAGAGATCAGAGAAATGTATACATCAGTTGTCCTGATGTGATGTCATTATTACACTTAAATACATAACACACGTCAGGAGCACCAAGTCATCGTGACTTTGTTTTCTCCCCATTTCTCCCTCCCTTGTCTGTCCACAGGTCACCCCCTCAGCTGATGCTGAGTAAAGTGTTTACAGCCCGAACAGGGAGCAGTGTCTATGGCAGCCTTAACACGTAAGCCCTACTACCACACTCTGCCCTCACCCCTCCTTCGCTTTCTCTCTCTCCTTTCTAAACCTGCTCTCTCTCCTTTCTAAACCTGCTCTCTCTCCTTTCTAAACCTGCTCTCTCTCCTTTCTAAACCTGCTCTCTCCTTTCTAAACCTGCGCTCTCGCTCTCTCTCCTTTCTAAACCTGCGCTCTCGCTCTCTCTCCTTTCTAAACCTGCTCTCTCGTTTCTAAACCTGCTCTCTCGTGCTCTCTCTTTTCTAAACCTGCTCTCTCGCGCTCTCTCCTTTCTAAACCTGCTCTCTCTCCTTTCTAAACGTGCTCTCTCTTTTCTAAACCTGCTCTCTCTTTTCTAAACCTGCTCTCTCGCGCTCTCTCCTTTCTAAACCTGCTCTCTCCTTTCTAAACCTGCTCTCTCATGCTCTCTCCTTTCTAAACCTGCTCTCTCTCCTTTCTAAACCTGCTCTCTCCTTTCTAAACCTGCGCTCTCGCTCTCTCTCCTTTCTAAACCTGCTCTCTCGCTCTCTCTCCTTTCTAAACCTGCTCTCTCTCCTTTCTAAACCTGCTCTCTCTCCTTTCTAAACCTGCTCTCTCTCTAACTTTCTTCTCCTCTTTCTATTCTTGATATCAATCTCTCCTGATACCCTTTGAACCTGTGCTGTTGTCTTTGTGCTCCTGGCAGACTGCAAGACAGCCTGGAGTTCATGGGTCAGGACCCCAATGCTTTGAGGCCGGATCAGAACACTGTGACCAACGGCCTCCTGGGGAACATAGGTAACCACAACAACAACTACAGACAGGACCACAGCACTACAGTACAACTGACTGGCACATAACGGACACGAATGGATGTATATTGTACATATCAGCACCTATGCCATTTCAGTTATTTTGGTAGTACTGAAGCACCGTTTTGTTTAACTTGTTTAATTTATCGTTTTATTCATGTATATACTGTATGTTATCTGTGTTGCAAATCCTTGTCAGACACTGACTATCTTTTGTAAGTTTGTTACGTGTGAATTGACTTGAATTGAATCCAGGTTTATTCTCCAGGCACATTTTTTTTGTGTTCTTTTCCCTCTTTAACGTCCATTTCAGGACAACCTGAAGCAGTTTGGGACCACAATGAAAAAGATCTGATGTGAAAAGATCTGATGTGATTGCTCAAAAGACCAATTAGTGGAAGAAATATCAGAATTGGGCTGCCTGTCCCAAACTGCCTCAGGTTGTCCCCTCTCTCCGTCGGGTTGGGGTGTGTACGTTATATTTGACCTCCTGCTTCACTACTAACCGTGGTTCATGTCCTGTTTTGTTTTGCTTGTCTCTTCTCCCCATCCGTTTGTGCTGCGCAGGTTTCTCTCAGCTCTGCAGCCCGCGCCGGGCCTTCTCTGAGCAGGGCCCTCTCCGCCTCATCAAGAGTGCCTCTTTCTTTTCAGGTTTGCAGTGTGCTCGTGTGCAGTTGCATGCTCGTGTACATACATTGCATGTGTCTGCAAGTGTACTACGGGCATGCTCAATATCTGCTTTAGAGTGCTTGCTGCTGGTTGTTGTACTCCCTACTGTCCTCACTGCCTCCTTCCATCACTCCTTCCCACACATCTTCCATCACTCCTTCCCACACACCTTCCCTCACTCCTTCCCATCCTCCTTCCATCACTCCTTCCCACCCTCCGTACCATAATCTATCCATCCCCCCATCTCTCCTCCCTCCCTCCCTACCATAACCTGGTGACAGGGGTGGTGATTTCTGTAAATAGCTTCCATGCAGCCCTCTGTAAGACACAGCTCTGTGGCACGGCATGTAGCTCTTCAGTTATGCAATAGTGGAATGCTCATTGGGTCGCAGGCCAGGGTGGGCGGGGCACAGACACTTTGCAGCAAAGCTAGTGTTGATTTGACCGTAAATCATATCAACAGGACAACACCAAACGGTGCCTTTGCAACACATGCAAATGAAGGGTTTGCGGTTTCTGCACTCGTAAACTATAGCGTGAACATTCATTTAGTAATTTTGCCTATTGTGTGTTAACGAGATGTTAAGTACATCTGAGAACATACAAGCGTACATGTTGTTTGTTGTGTATTGCCGATGCTGCACCTTCTTCAACAGAGTGGCGTTAGAGTGAACAACACACCACTGTACCATAGTAGAGGGCCAGCACCTGCTTATGGTTTTGCCTGTAGGAAGTGTCTTGCACTGTGGTGGTATGTCATTTGTGGACTTGATCATTGTGAAATGAATGTTCGGTGGTGGTGAAGGTGGCCCCATGCTTTGAGAGTGGTGGTGGGAAAAGCACTCGCACCCCTCCCTGCTTGGGCTCCTCAGTATTGCTGAGCTGAGTCGTTCCTGATCTGTTTCTCAGTCTTTCCCCTCCTGTCTCTCTCCTGCAGGCCACAGCAACCCCATGGACATGCCGTGCAGAAGCCTGTACGACGAGAGAGACAGCGGTATCGCCAGATCAGGTAATGACTCTTAACTAAATCCAGGATTGGCCTCTCTAGACACCCTCCACTCATACTAAGCCTTCTTTGTGTCTCTGAGATGATGCAACTAGGTGAGCAGGTTTTTAGCACTAGATTCACCTCAGTGTGTTCTCTCTCGCTGAACCATCTCTTAACAAGAGGGATGCAACTAATCGGTTTAGATGAAACCCTATTCTACTGGGTCACGGCTGCAGACCAGTCAGCTCCACACAGCATTCCTTCTCTTCAAGGTCAAACTGGAGTGAGAGTGACACCAGGACAGTGGTCCATAGGGCTCTGGTCAAAAGTAGATCACTATGTAGGGCGTTAGGGTGCCATTTGGGACACCAGCTTATCCCTCCTCTGTAATGATGGCACAGCGGAGACGTTTACGGACACACCTTTCCATCGACCCCGCTGCCAGAGTTTAGCCCTCCTCCGTCCTCTATAGGGGTGTGGAGGAGAGAGAGGTGCTGGAAAACCTTGTGCAGTGGAAACTGACCCCCAGCCCTTGCATCGCCGGCATGAGGGGAATCTCACTTTCTGTTGAACACCCGCGTCACATGCATATGCTTAAATATAGCAGCTCCCAAAACCCGGTACTAGTAAATTAAGTTCTAATTTGGTCCCCTCTCGTCTCCCACACAGACACACACACACACACACACTCTCCTTCAACTCCTCCTATACCCATACGCCTCCCCTAGTCATCAATCACCCACACATTTGGCGTCCCTTCATTGAGCTATGCCTACACGACGACAACGTGAGCAGCATACACCCTCCACATACAGTTGAAGTCTGAAGTTTACATACACCTTAGCCAAATACATTTAACCTCAGTTTTTCACAATTCCTGACATTTAATCCTAGTGAATATTCCCTGTCTTAGGTCAGTTAGGATCACCACTTAATATTAAGAATGTGAAATGTCAGAATAATAGTTGAGAGAATTATTTATTTCAGCTTTTATTTATTTTATCACATTCCCAGTGGGTCAGAAGTGTACATACACTCAATTAGTATTTGGTAGCATTGCTTTAAATTGTTTAACTTGGGTCAAACGTTTCGGGTAGCCTTCCACAAGCTTCCCACAATAAGTTGGGTGAATTTTGGCCCATTCCTCCTGACAGAGCTGGTGTAACTGAGTCAGGTTTGTAGGCCTCCTTGCTCGAACACGCCTTTTCAGTTCTGCCCACACATTTTCTATAGTATTGAGGTCAGGGCTTTGTGATGGCCACACCAATACCTTGACTTTGTTGTCCTTAAGCCATTTTGCCACAACTTTGGAAGTATGCTTGGGGTCATTGTCCATTTGGAAGACCCATTTGCGACCAAGCTTTAACTTCCTGACTGATGTCTTGAGATGTTGCTTCAATATATCCACATCATTTTTCTTCCTCATGATGCCATCTATTTTGTGAAGTGCACCAGTCCCTCCTGCAGCAAAGTTAATAAAATAAAATCAAATTTTATTGGCCACGTGCCGAATACAACAGGTGTAGACATTACAGTGAAATGCTTACTTACAGCCCTTAACCAACAATGCATTAATTTTTTTATTTAAAAAAGTAAAATAAAACAACAACAAAAAAGTGTTGAGGAAAAAAAGAGCAGAAGTAAAATTAAATAACAGTAGGGAGGCTATATATACAGGGGGGTACCGGTGCAGAGTCAATGTGCGGGGGCAGCGGCTAGTTGAGGTAATATGTACATGTGGGTAGAGTTAAAGTGACTATCCATAAATAATTAACAGAGTAGCAGCAGCGTAAAAAGATGGGGTGGGGGGGCAGTGCAAATAGTTTGGGTAGCCATGATTAGCTGTTCAGGAGTCTTATGGCTTTGGGGTAGAAGCTGTTGAGAAGTCTTTTGGACCTAGACTTAGCACTCCGGTACCGCTTGCCGTGCGGTAGCAGAGAGAACAGTCTATGACTAGGGTGGCTGGAGTCTTTGACAATTTTGAGGGCCTTCCTCTGACACCGCCTGGTATAGAGGTCCTGGATGGCAGGAAGCTTGGCCCCAGTGATGTACTGGGCCGTAAGCACTACCCTCTGTAGTGCCTTGCGGTCGGAGGCCGAGCAGTTGCCATACCAGGCGGTGATGCAACCAGTCAGGATGCTCTCGATGGTGCAGCTGTAGAATTTCTTGAGGATCTGAGGACCCATGCCAAATCTTTTCTGTCTCCTGAGGGGGAATAGGCTTTGTCGTGCCCTCTTCACGACTGTCTTGGTGTGTTTGGACCATGATAGTTTGTTGGTGATGTGGACACCAAGGAACTTTAAGCTCTCAACCTGTTCCACTACAGCCCCGTCGATGAGAATGGGTGCGTGGTCAGTCCTCTTTTTATTTGTGTAGTCCACAATCATCCCCTTTGTCTTGGTCACGTTGAGGGAGAGGTTGTTGTCCTGGCACCACACGTCCAGGTCTCTGACCTCCTCCCTATAGGCTGTCTCATCTTTGTCGGTGATCAGGCCTACCACTGTTGTGTCGTCGGCAAACTTAATGATGGTGTTGGAATCGTGCCTGGCCATGCAGTCATGGGTGAACAGGGAGTACAGGAGGGGACTGAGCACGCACCCCTGAGGGGCCCCCGTGTTGAGGATCAGTGTGGCAGATGTGTTGTTACCTACCCTTACCACCTGGGGGCGGCCCGTCAGGAAGTCCAGGATCCAGTTGCAGAGGGAGGTGTTTAGTCCCAGGATCCTTAGCTTAGTGATGAGCTTTTAGGGCACTATGGTGTTTAATCCTGAGCTGTAGTCAATGAAAAGCATTCTCACGTAGGTGTTCCTCTTGTTCAGGTGGGAAAGGGCAGTGTGGAGTGCAATAGAGATTGCATCAGTCTGTGGATCATCTGTGGATCTTTTGGGGCGGTATGCAAATTGGAGTGGGTCTAGGGTTTCTGGGATAATGGTGTTGATGTGAGCAACAGCATGATGCTGCTACCCCCGTGCTTCACGGTTGGGATGGTGTTCTTCTTCGGCTTGCAAGCGACCCCCTTTTTCCTACAAACATAACGATGGTCATTATGGCCAAACAGTTATATTTTTGTTTCATCAGACCAAAGGACATTTCTCCAAAAAGTACGATCTTTGTCCCCATGTGCCGTTGCAAACCGTAGTCTGGCTTTTTTATGGCGGTTTTGGAGCAGTGGCTTCTTCCTTGCTGAGCGGCCTTTCAGGTTATATCGATATAGGACTCGTTTTACTGTGGATATTGATACTTTTGTACCTGTTTCCTCCAGCATCTTCACAAGGTCCTTTGCTGTTGTTCTAGGATTGATTTGCACTTTTCGCATTAAAGTACGTTCATCTCTAGGAGACAGAACGCGTCTCCTTCCTGAGCGGTATGACGGCTGCGTGGTCCCATGGTGTTTATACTTGCGTACTATTGTTTGTACAGATGAACGTGGTACCTTCAGGCGTTTGGAAATTGCTCCCAAGGATGAACCAGACTTGTGGAGGCCTACCATTTTTTTTTTTGAGGTCTTGGCTGATTTCTTTTGATTTTCCCATGATGTCAAGCAAAGAGGCACGGAGTTTGAAGGTAGGCCTTGAAATACATCCACAGGTACACCTTAATTGACTGAAATGATGTCAATTAGCCTATCAGAAGCTTCTAAAGCCATGAAATCATTTTCTGGAATTTTCCAAGCTGTTTAAAGGCACAGTCAAGTTAGTGTATGTAAACTTCTGACCCACTGGAATTGTGATACAGTGAATTATAAGTGAAATAATCTGTCTATAAACAATTGTTGGAAAAATTACTTGTGTCATGCACAAAGTAGATGTCCTAACCGACTTGCCAAAACTATAGTTTGTTAACAAAAAAATGTATGGAGTGGTTGAAAAACAAGTTTTAATGACTCCAAGTGTATGTAAACTTCCGACTTCAACTGTACCTGGTATTGGGCCAGCTTTTCTTGTAATATCGTGACTGTGAGGTGATTATAGAATGTCCCAGCCATGCTCTAATAATCAGGGTGGGCTGTGGGAAGCTGAACTAATGCAGTGTGGACGTGTTCTATGTGATTTTCCCCTGTTCTGTTGTGTATGAGTAACCTCACTGACTGAATCACCCTCCCCCCTCTTCTGTTCTCTCCTTCTGTTGTCTCCTCTCTCTCATTCCTCAACTCCTCTTTTTTTGCTCTCTACACTTCTATGGCTTCTACACTTCTCTCTCTGTGCTCCCATCTTCCCCTCTTACATACTTCTCACTCGTTCCATCTCTGCCTCTCCCTCCCTCCCTACACAGCGTCTCTGAGCAGTCTGTTGATTACTCCGTTCCCCTCCCCGGGCTCCTCCCTCACCAGCAGTCAGGCCAGTAGCTACCAGAGACGCTGGCTCCGCAGCCAGACCACCAGTCTGGAGAACGGGGTCTTCCCAAGATGGTGAGAGACAGCAGTTCAACACAAATACACACACACACACAATTATACAGACACACACTCTCCTTCTGGTGTCCCCCCTGTTAGGGCCTCTCGTACACCCATGGGGGCGTATACAAATAACTGGACAGTAGGGTGATGATACTGTGTGGGCCCAATGACTCACTCTGAGTTCTAACTACACATATTAGCTACACTGTCACTGGCATTGGCTTTGAATAGTAAATGACCAGTAGACTGTTACAAATGACATTTATGTATTGGCCTACAATCAGTTCCCAGAAGTCATAGGTGAGCTGTAGAGCTCCATGAATTTGTGTATGTGTGTCTTTTTAGATGCAGAGAAACATTTACATTTACATTTGAGTAATTTAGCAGACACTCTTATTCTTATCCAGAACAACTTACAGTTAGTGAGTGCATACATTTCAAACATGTAGCCTCCTGTAGCTCAGTTGGTAGAGCATGGCGCTTGTAACGCCAGGGTTGTGGGTTCGATTCCCACGGGGGGCCAGCATGAAAAATTTATGCACTAACTGTAAGTCGCTTTTGATAAGAGCGTCTGCTAAATGACTAAAATGTTGACTGATCACACTGCAAAGACGTGATACAGATCAGCACCTCAGTCCTGGCTATATCGACACCATCGTAGCCATCTAGAAGATCCATGGCTAGTTGTTGTTACCTATTGTCCATGGTTTTCCCCCAGCCACAGGTTGAGAGTTTATGCCATCATACTTACTTTTATTTTCACCTTTGACTGTAGCCTGTTAAGAATCCTGCTGTCCACTTCTCCATAGTACTTCTCTATGTGTCCACCTTGCTCCAGGTCTGTGGAAGAGAGCTTCAACATGTCGGACGAGAGCGGAGGTCCCAGCCTGGGCGTGGCAAGGAAGAAGAAGATTGCCATCGGCGTCATCTTCCTCCTCTCCCAGGACGAAGAGGAGAACATCAAGTTCCAAGACTTCTTCTTCTCCCACTTCCCCCTCTTCGAGAGCCACATGAACAAACTAAAAAGTGCCATCGAACAGGTGAGGAGGTCCTCACATACAGTGGGGAGAACAAGTATTTGATACACTGCCGATTTTGCAGGTTTTCCTACTTACAAAGCATGTAGAGGTCTGTAATTTTTATCATAGGTACACTTCAACTGTGAGAGACGTAATCTAAAACAAAAATCCAGAAAATCACATTGTATGATTTTTAAGTAATTAATTTGCATTTTATTGCATGACATAAGTATTTGATCACCTACCAACCAGTAAGAATTCCGGCTCTCACAGACCTGTTAGTTTTTCTTTAAGAAGCCCTCCTGTTCTCCACTCATTACATGTATTAACTGCACCTGTTTGAACTCGTTACCTGTATAAAAGACACCTGTCCACACACTCAATCAAACAGACTCCAACCTCTCCACAATGGCCAAGACCAGAGAGCTGTGTAAGGACATCAGGGATAAAATTGTAGACCTGCACAAGGCTGGGAGGGCTACAGGACAATCGGCAAGCAGCTTGGTGAGAAGGCAACAACTGTTGGCGCAATTATTAGAAAATGGAAGAAGTTCAAGATGACGGTCAATCACCCTCGGTCTGGGGCTCCATGCAAGATCTCACCTCGTGGGGCATCAATGATCATGAGGAAGGTGAGGGATAAGCCCAGAACTACACGGCAGGACCTGGTCAATGACCTGAAGAGAGCTGGAACCACAGTCTTAAAGAAAACCATTAGTAACACACTACGCCGTCATGGATTAAAATCCTGCAGCGCACGCAAGGTCCCCCTGCTCAAGCCAGCGCATGTCCAGGCCCGTCTGAAGTTTGCCAATAACCATCTGGATGATCCAGAGGAGGAATGGGAGAAGGTCATGTGGTCTGATGAAACAAAAATAGAGCTTTTTGCTCTAAACTCCACTCGCTGTGTTTGGAGGAAGAAGAAGGATGAGTACAACCCCAAGAACACCATCCCAACCGTGTAGCATGGAGGTGGAAACATCATTCTTTGGGGATGCTTTTCTGCAAAGGGGACAGGACGACTGCACCGTAGTTGTCTATTCCATTTGCACAACAGCATGTGAAATGTATTGTCAATCAGTGTTGCTTCCTAAGTGGACAGTTTGATTTCACAGAAGTGTGATTGACTTGGAGTTACATTGTGTTGTTTAAGTGTTCCCTTTATTTTTTTGAGCAGTGTACTACATTTAATCAGACTTGCTCAAGGCTTTAAACATATAAAATGTACAGTGCATTGAAAGTATTCAGACCCCTTCCCTTTTTCCACATTTTCTTATGTTACAGCCTTATTCTAAAATGGATTACATAAAAAATGTTCCTCATCAATATACACACTATACCCCATAATGACAAAGTGAAAACAGGTTTGTAGACATTTTTGGAAATGTAAAAAAAAGAAAAGAAAAAAAGATGCCTAATTTACATAAGTATTCACACCCTTTGTTATGAGACTCCAAATTTAGCTCAGGTGCATCCTGTTTCCATTGATCATCGTTGAGATGTTTCTACAACTTTATTGGAGTCTACCTGTGGTAAATTCAATTGATTGGACATGATTTGGAAAGGCACACATCTGTCTATATAAGGTCCCACAGTTGATATTGCATGTCAGAGCAAAAACCAAGCCATGAGGTCGAAGTAATTATCCGTAGAGCTCCGAGACAGGATTGTGTCGAGGCACAGATCTGGGTGAGGGTACCAAAAAACCTCTGCGGTATTGAAGTTCCCGAAGAACAGAGTGGCCTCCATCATTCTTAAATGGAAGAAGTTTGGAAACACCAAGTCTCTTCCAAGAACTGGCCGCCCGGCCAAACTGAGCAATCGGGGGAGAAGGGCCTTGGTCAGGGAGGTGACCAAGAACCCGATGGTCACTCTGACAGAGCTCCAGAGTTCCTCTGGGGAGATGGGAGAACCTTCCAGAATGACAATCATCTTTGCAGCACTCCACCAATCAGGCCTTTATGGTAGAGTGGCCAGGCGTAAGCCACTCCTCAGTAAAAGGCACATGACAGCCAGCTTGGAGTTTGCCAAAAGGCACCTAAAGGACTCTCAGACCATGAGAAACAAGATTCTCTGGTCTGATGAAACCAAGATTGAACTCTTTGGCCTGAATGCCAAGCATCAGGTCTGGAGGAAACCTGGCACCATCCCTACGGAGAAGCATGGTAGTGGCAGCCTCATGCTGTGGGGATGTTTTTCAGCAGCAGGGACTGGGAGACTGGTCAGGATCGAGGGAAAGATGAACGGAGCAAAGTATAGAGAGATCCTTGATGAAAACCTGCTCTGAGCGCTCAGGACCTCAGACTGGGGCGAAGGTTCACCTTCCAACAGGACAACCACCCTAAGCACACAGCCAAGACAACGCAGGAGTGGCATCGGGACAAGTCTCTGAATGTCCTTGAGTGGCCCAGCCAGAGCCCGGACTCGAACCCGATCTAACATCTCTGGAGAGACCTGAAAATAGCTGTGCAGCTTAGCGTAACAAAGTGGAAAAAGTCACTTGGGTTGCTGTACTTTCCGAATGTACTTACCGAATGCACTGTATGTTGGCCTAAAATAGAATCCATTGATTTCTGTGTTAGATCTGTCAGTACCATGTTTACTTGAGGCTGTATGTATTTATTGTTCTCTGTTCTTGTGAATTAGTGTAGCCTGCCACTCTTCTCCCCACTCTTTCCCTCCCTCTTTAATTACATGGCATGCCTCTGTTCTCATTTAAAAGGCCATGAAAATGAGCCGGCGATCAGCTGACGCCAGTCAGAGGGCTCTGGCCTACAGCCGCATGGTGGATGGCCTCAATGAATTCAGGTGAGTTACTGTTACTTTCATTTGTTTACTGAGACCAAGGCAAACCACACTGAGAATGTAGCAGAGGCAAATCCCTTAGCTTGTTACCTAGGAGCCCAGGGAGGGAGTGGGTTTGAGAGGTATGGTTTGTTGCAATAGGGACTCTGTATATTTTATCCGTGTTAGAGTGTAGTAGATCATTAATCCACACCTTAGTTTAATAGTTAGTGTGACGTAGATATCGTCTAACCTTCCTAACTGGGTAGTGTCCACACAGAGTTTTTTCTCAGGCCCAGCCAAAATAAGCACATGAATAATCTGCACTGTAAGCAGAGAGGGAGCACGCAGTCCCTACCTGTCCTGTCCACACTCGCACACGGTGATGAAGTGCCGGCTACACCCATGCTGCTCCCAGTGCATGCTGGGAACCCCACTGCTGCAGAGCCACTGATGCGGTGGGAGGGAAAGGAGAGACGTGTGGGGCGGTTTGTGTCTCTGCACCACTGGCCAATGGCCACATGCTCAGACTCTTTCTCCTAGCTGAAGGCTTCCCATTGCTGCAGTCATATGCCTGCTGGCGCGGTGCCACAGCAACCCGAGCCCCAGCTGAGGAAACACTATCTTCCTCAAACAGTGTCCAGGCTACCAGAATAATGAATTATATGGCAGTGCCATCAGCAGGACGATCAATTTCACTGGGGAAAAACAAATATTTCAAAAAATCTCACCTTCAACGTGTAAATATACATCCCCTGATGTATATTTGTGTTTAACCGTTAGGCCTCTTAGGTCATGGAACATGATGGCGCATAAAATGAAGAAATGCCATTTGATGTTGACAGTTTTTCCCCCAGAGTAGGATAGAAAACAGCACTTGAATCAGACTATTCTTTTAGGGGTACTATGGTGCATATGCCTTTGTTTCTTAATGTGTCGTTTTTTAAAAATCATGTGTTGGTCATTGTTGCGTGTCCTGTCATTGTAAGTCATTAATGATGCATGCTGTGATAAAACAATTTCCCAAGTTGGTATTAATAAAGTAATACTCTACTCTACATGACCCAGTCTGGCCTAACAAACACCAATAGCCACGGGAGGCACTGCACACGCACACACATGCTGATTGGATATCTGCCAGGGTTGGGATATGAAGAACACGAGTGCTTTCGGGTACCACAGAGCGGTGTTCAGTTGTTAATTTAACGGAAATGGTAATGTACTGAACGACCAGTTGAAGAATTCTGGTGTTCCAGAGGGAGTTTTGCAATTTTCTAAATGGTCACACCCATATTGATCAGGCCACACCCACCAAACGGGAGCAGACTTACCTCAAAGGCTGTTTTGGGGTAACGTGTCGTTTAGTACAAACAGTCAGGCAATGTAGCAAACGTTGAATCGAACTGAACGCACCCCTGCTCAAGAGTCTCTTTGTTTCTTGACTGACTTGATATGCTTTTGCCTGCACAATCGGTATTGAGGTCAGAGGGAATGAATTAAGTCTAAACTTAGATGCGGTCGGTTTTATAAATGTCCACTGGACGTACCTTCACGTCCATCGCTACCTTAAAGTTCAGACTGTAAGGCAAGACCCTGAGCTGGCTTCCCCACGTCACGACCCATGCCATGCCAGTGGCTTTTAATAGGTTACTACATATCAGATACTGAGAAGTGTTGCTGGGATCAAATTTATCAAAATGTTCTGGAGTTACGTGTTGGTTGAATTATAACAGGATTCTAGTTAGGCCATTTCTGCATATTTCCTAGCAATGTGTCAAAATGTGCCAAGTCAGTTAAAAACAGCATAGCCCAAAATGTTATGTAAACAACGCTACAGTTTTAACAGGAGGTGCCTTTTCAGCCTGTCGGTCAGGCAACTTGAGCCCTGGTTTCAAGTGGGGTTATTGGTGTTTATCTTTCATTTCTGTGAATTCTTGTCAGGGAAAGACCATGTACCAATCATCAATCTCCTTACTACCTGTCTTCTCCTGTCTATAACCTGTAGCTCTTGTTCGATAGTTACACTACTTGTTTTCCTCAGTCATCAGCAAACATCTGGGCTCTAAAACTATAATTCCGCCCCATATAATTCCACACATTCCTCCATCCTCAGAGATTCCCTCAGCTCTGTGTAAAGCTCTGGATGGCTGCCCGCTGTGGAATTTCCAGACGCTGAATTGCCTCAGAGAGGGTGTCCCTTGTAAGCAGGGCCTGGACTGAGAACTGAGGCCCTCTTGTTCACCCCGAGACAATGATGGCTTGTGTTTCTCCCTCCCTCTCGCCAGGACGACCATCGTCAACCTTTACACCATGCCCCGTGTGGCCGAGCCCGTTTGGCTCACCATGATGTCTGGAGCCCCCGAGAAGAACCAGCTCTGTGGACAGTTCATGAGGGAGCTCGCCCTGCTCATGGAGCAGGCCTCAAAGAACCAGTTGAGTGCTCCTGTCTGTCTCTGTATGCCTGTCTGTGTGTGTGTGTGCGATACTTTGTTTTGTGTGTTACTGCATTCAATAGTGAATGAGCTGAAAAGTCAGAAATCCCTGCCAATCTTTAGCTTGTTACTGTCGATGTTACAAAACCAAGCTGAATCATTTGTCGATGTATCAATTGGTAGCAAGACATCCATAGAACTTCTCCGATGTTCCACTCACTGCATTAGTATGCAGTAGTCTACGAAGGTCTGCCTCGTGATTTAGACTGACCATTGACCACTGTGACGTAGCTCTGAATGATCAGAGAAGAGGGAAGTAGCAGAACACGAGGCAACGGTGGTGGTGGAGATTAAGAAAAATGAGAGTGAAAGCGGTAGACATTAGAGTCTGTGTCCCAAATGGCACCCGATTTCCCCTGGTCAAAAGTAGTGCACTACATAGGGAATAGGGTGCCATTTGGGACATACCAAGTCTTTGGAGAGAAGGTGCCTGACCCGACCGCTCTCTCTTCTTCTCCCAGGTTCCTCCCTGCCCTCCTCACAGCCATCCTCACCAACCACCTGGCCTGGGTGCCCACTGTCATGCCCAACGGACAGCCGCCCATCAAGATGTTCCTGGAGAAACACTCGTCTCAGAGCGTAGATAGGCTGGCCAAGAGCCACCCGTACAACCCACTGTGGGCCCAGCTCGGTAAGAACAGACTACAGGCCAGGACTCTGGTTGAAAACCTCTTCAGTCTTATGTGTTTCTGATAGATAGAACAGAATGAGGGAGTCCACGCACATGTGGGATGGAGATTAATCTTGCCAGAGGCTTGTACTTTTCAGACCAAGCTAGTAGGAAATGTGCCAAACTAGCTCCACAGGCCTGTGAAATTGTGTATTTTCAAATAACCCAAGGCAAAGATTTTTTACCCAAATGTTACCCAGGCTATTAGAAATCGCAGTCAACTAGCCAGTGCTCAAAATCCTTAAATTACATTCCAACGTGTTTGTTATTATAGCTTTTTCAAGCTGTCTGATGGTAAAAAACTCTATCACTCAGTTCATGGTAAATAATATCTCTGTATAGTCAACTATTAAAATATGCTCCTATCCTTAGCAATAACTAGCTGTAAATACCAGATAGTGGGCTTCATTTGAGTACAGGCAACAGTTTGGAACGTTGGTGTACAACTCCACCTAGTGGTTGAACAGGATACATGCTGTTGGAGATTTCCTTCACTCTCCCAAATGTTAAATGGAAAAAATAAGCTATACATATTTGACCACATTTTCATATTCTAAATGTGGCTTTACATATGCAACAAAGTGAAAATAAGAAATGTGTAGTTAACTGTGGTGTCTTGTGCCTTTAGGTGACTTGTATGGGGCCATCGGCTCCCCGGTGCGTCTGTCCAGGACGGTGGTGGTGGGTCGGAGACGGGAGCTAGTCCAGAGACTCCTCTATGTGCTCACCTACTTCATCCGCTGCTCGGAGCTGCTGGAGACCCACATGCTGGACAGCGCTGAGGACGAGGCCATCGTCATTCCAGGCTCTCTCATCACCACCTCGCTGCAGCGTGGGGAGGTGGAGGAGTCAGACTATGTGCTGGTCACCGTGCACAAGCCCAGCGGAAACTACCTGAGCCAGGGTTCCGAGCCCCGAGAGGACAGCAGCTACCGCTCAGACAGCAACAACAGCCTACAGAGCAGCACCTACACAGACACAGACCCTGAGGAGGGAGACAGTAGTAACAACAGCCAGGGCTCCAAGAGAAGTGGCCTGCAGGCCCAGGCCCACTCCAGCCACAACACCAACACTAACGCTGTGCCCATCATCCACACGGAGGATGTTAGTGAGCCCACGCCGCTCAAGGAGTCACCAACCGCCTGTGTGGAGGCCAAGCTGGAAACAGTGGTGCGTGTGGGCTCGGCCTTCCCCAGGGAGCAGGCCTGTGTGCTGCTGGAGACGAAGCCTGAGGCCGAGCTAGAGGTCAAGGCCAGCGAGGAGGAGATGGGGAGTCTGCCCATCAAGGTGTTCCGCTCTTCAGGGATACCACTGGAGAAGAAGCCCCCTGACAAGACCATACCTGTACCTGTACCCGGCCCCTTTCTGTCAAACCACCAGGAGGAGCCTGCCACCAAAGTGCTGTTTCTCATCGGCGACCCCCAGTCTCCAGGGTCAGACACAGAGAGCAGGAGGAGGAAGCTGGAGGAGGACATTAAGAAGCACAAGAAATGCATCAAGGAGAAACAGCGGCAGCAACTGCTACAACAACAACAACCGTTACAACAACAGCAACTGCTACAACAACAACAACCGTTACAACAACAACAACAGCAACTGCTACAACAACAACAACAGCAACTGCTACAACAACAACAACTGTTACAACAACAACAACAGCAACTGCTACAACAACAACAACCGCTAAAACAACAACATCAACCTCTACAACAACCGCTACTACAACAACCGCTAAAACAACAACAAGAACAGCAGCAGCAGAGTGGGTGCGGCGAAGGCGGCGATCATATGGTGAAGTCTACTACCAGCACATCACCGGACCAAACCAAGACCAACGTGGACGGAAAGAAGACTCTGATGCGTGTCTCCAGTAAGATGCCCCAGTGGAACCCTGTCAGCGAGGAGGAGTGCTTGGAGCTGTTCGACAAGTACTTCAGTGATGACAACCCTGTAGAGACCAGGACTATAGACGATGTGGTGAAATGCCTGGACTTGTCAAGCGGCACAGACAAAACCCAGAAAGAGCTGCTGGACCCTTCGGGAGTCCAGAGTAGCAGTTGCTGTAAGGAGCAGGGGGATCAGGGACAGAAGGGGACAGGGCAGGTGGGTGTGGGTGGGGGGGAGGCTGACGTCCAGACCAGGTGTAGGGGGGAGGCTGACGTCCAGACCAGGTGTAGGGGGGAGGCTGACGTCCAGACCAGGTGTAGGGGGGAGGCTGACGTCCAGACCAGGTGTAGGGGGGAGGCTGACGTCCAGACCAGGTGTAGGGGGGAGGCTGACGTCCAGACCAGGTGTAGGGGGGAGGCTGACGTCCAGACCAGGTGTAGGGGGGAGGCTGACGTCCAGACCAGGTGTGGGAGGGAGGCTGACGTCCAGACCAGGTGTAGGGGGGAGGCTGACGTCCAGACCAGGTGTAGGGGGGAGGCTGACGTCCAGACCAGGTGTAGGTGTGGCTCCACAGACACATCGAAATCACGCTCCTGTAGAAGTTGTTCTGCTGAGCAGGACATGGGCATCCTGATTTCAGTAACCGTCCCGGAAGGGGACCACAAAGGGGGCCAACAAAAGAAGGGAGCCCCGCTTAATGACTGTGAGATCCCCCGGAACGAGAGTTCAGACAGTGCGCTGGGGGACAGCGAGAGCGAAGACGCAGGGCAGGATATCCACAGGCAGAGTGATGGCCGCACCTACTACAGAGAGGATCAGGAGCCAGACGAGTGGCAGGAGGAGGTGGAGATCCCCTTCCCTGGGTGAGATACACACAGTGCTATTGATGTCAACATTAAAAACGTGTTTGCCTTCATATTATGTTTTCAAGACACATATCAACTTCTATGGGAGTTACATTTCTGGGTTAGAATATGTTCTGATGTTGTCTATCTATGCCATGTTTTAAATCAACAGGTCAAAGTTGGTGGAGCATTTCTCCAAACCGAGCATTGCCAACTTTGGGAGGTCACTGTTCGGAGGGTACTGCACAACCTATGTGCCAGACTTTGTTCTGCAGGGGATGCCCAACGATGACAAACTAAGGCAGGGCCTCATGTCAGAATTAGCCCACGCTGTACAGGTAAGAGACTGCTTTATACCTGAAGCACTGAAGCTTGTGTTAACTGGATTATGAGTCTTCATGAGAGCCTAACTAACTAATTCCTTTTTATGCTTGCTTGAGGAACATAAGGCATCAACAGGAGAGCACCACTGTATCTGGTCTGCATCTGTCGGAGCCAAAAGTTGTCTTATTCTTTTCGCAGCATCCAGTGTTGGATGAGCCCATTGCAGAGGCGGTCTGCATTATCGCAGACACTGATAAGTGGACGGTGCAGGTAGCCAGCAGCCAGAGACGAGCCACGGACAACAACAAACTGGGGAAGGAGGTCCTGGTGTCCAGCCTCGTGTCCAGCCTGCTCCAGTCCACCCACCTGCTTTACAAGATTAACCTCTCCCCCAACTTTGTAAGTTCATACAAATGCCAAATAACTATGCAGTTATTAGCATTGTAAAAAAAATCTATTCAGTAACAAAAGGTTAATCATTAACACAAGGGTAATCAGTAATAAAGTTGTAATTAGATTGACATCCCTCTCCTCAGTGCATAATGCACCTTGAGGACAGACTCCAGGAGATCTACTTCAAGAGTAAAATGCTGGCAGAGTACCTGAAGGGACAGACTAGAGTGCACGTCAAGGAGCTGGGGATGGTCCTGGGGTGAGCACCTAAACCGTCTTTATACAGTGGCTCTGCATCCAAAATGACACCTATTCCCTATATAGTGCACTATTTTTGACTAGAGCCCTATGGGAATAGTGTACCATTTATTCTAAAATATAAGTATTGTAATCCATGTTGTCTTTCTGTTCTTAAAGGCCCAATGCAGCTGTTTTTATCTCAATATCAAATCATTTCTGGGTAACAATTAAGTACCTACAGTGGGGGAAAAAAGTATTTAGTCAGCCACCAATTGTGCAAGTTCTCCCACTTAAAAAGATGAGAGAGGCCTGTCATTTTCATCATAGGTACACGTCAACTATGACAGACAAATTGAGAAAAAAAAATCCAGAAAATCACATTGTAGGATTTTTAATGAATTTATTTGCAAATTATGGTGGAAAATAAGTATTTGGTCACCTACAAACAAGCAAGATTTCTGGCTCTCACAGACCTGTAACTTCTTCTTTAAGAGGCTCCTCTGTCCTCCACTCGTTACCTGTATTAATGGCACCTGTTTGAACTTGTTATCAGTATAAAAGACACCTGTCCACAACCTCAAACAGTCACACTCCAAACTCCACTATGGTCAAGACCAAAGAGCTGTCAAAGGACACCAGAAACAAAATTGTAGACCTGCACCAGGCTGGGAAGACTGAATCTGCAATAGGTAAGCAGCTTGGTTTGAAGAAATCAACTGTGGGAGCAATTATTAGGAAATGGAAGACATACAAGACCACTGATAATCTCCCTCGATCTGGGGCTCCACGCAAGATCTCACCCCGTGGGGTCAAAATGATCACAAGAACGGTGAGCAAAAATCCCAGAACCACACGGGGGGACCTAGTGAATGACCTGCAGAGAGCTGGGACCAAAGTAACAAAGCCTACCATCAGTAACACACTACTCCGCCAGGGACTCAAATCCTGCATTGCCAGACGTGTCCCCCTGCTTAAGCCAGTACATGTCCAGGCCCGTCTGAAGGTTGCTAGAGTGCATTTGGATGATCCAGAAGAGGATTGGGAGAATGTCATATGGTCAGATGAAACCAAAATATAACTTTTTGGTAAAAACTCAACTCATCGTGTTTGGAGGACAAAGAATGCTGAGTTGCATCCAAAGAACACCATACCTACTGTGAAGCATTGGGGTGGAAACTTCATGCTTTGGGGCTGTTTTTCTGCAAAGGGACCAGGACGACTGATCCGTGTAAAGGAAAGAATGAATGGGGCCATGTATCGTGAGATTTTGAGTGAAAACCTCCTTCCATCAGCAAGGGCATTGAAGATGAAACGTGGCTGGGTCTTTCAGCATGACAATGATCCCAAACACACCGCCCGGGCAACGAAGGAGTGGCTTCGTAAGAAGCATTTCAAGGTCCTGGAGTGGCCTAGCCAGTCTCCAGATCTCAACCCCATAGAAAATCTTTGGAGGGAGTTGAAAGTCCGTGTTGCCCAGCGACAGCCCCAAAACATCACTGCTCTAGAGGAGATCTGCATGGAGGAATGGGCCAAAATACCAGCAACAGTGTGTGAAAACCTTGTGAAGACTTACAGAAAACGTTTGACCTGTGTCATTGCCAACAAGGGGTATATAACAAAGTATTGAGAAACTTTTGTTATTGACCAAATACTTATTTTCCACCATAATTTGCAAATAAATTCATAAAGAATCCTACAATGTGATTTTCTGGAATTTCTTTTCTCATTTTGTCCGTCATAGTTGACATGTACCTATGATGAAAATTACAGGCCTCTCTCCTCTTTTTAAGTGGGAGAACTTGCACAATTGGTGGCTGATTAAATACTTTTTTTCCCCACTGTAACTGTGATTGTTTTCATTTAAAATGGTCAAAAGTAGCTTCTTAGCTAGAGCAATTTCTCAAGAATTTTGCTAGGACAGAGTTGTTATTGGCAGGGAGGTTTGGAACTCTTTCTTGTTGGTCTATTAACTTATTTACCGCCTGGTGATGTCACCAGGCAGGCCAAAACTCCATACAACCAAAACATGCTGAAATTTCAGGCAGTCTTTTCAAACAGCTTTTACACTAAAAGGGCATTATCATAATGTTCACAATTTGACAGTATTATTCCAACCTCATGCGCAACTCAATATTAGGAAGGTGTCATTAATGTTTTTTACACTCAGTGCATATAAAACACAAGGAAATCAAGTGTTTGACTGCACTGGGCCTTTAAAATACTGCACTGTGTTATTCACATCTTAATAACAATCATAGTAACTGAGTTAGGAGAATATACCCTTGGCTTGTTGTTCTGTTGCTCAACTATGTACAATATTCTAAGCATGGCTCTTGTCATTTCAGTATTGAGTCCAGTGACCTTCCCCTGCTGGCAGCAGTGGCAAGCACTCACTCTCCCTATGTGGCCCAAATACTGCTATAATAGATGGAACCAAAGCCAGAGATGGAGTGTGACTGTGGACTGGAGGAGCAGGATACTGTGCTCCACCCTGACCCGACATGTCGGCTTGACCCTGTCCACTGACGTCCTGCTGATGCTCTGAGAGGGCCGGTGCAGTGCAGTCTCCTGGACAGGGTGTGCATCCCAAATTGCATACTATTCAAAAGTTGTACACTATGTAGGGAATAGGGTTTCATTTGAGATGCAGAAAGGGCCTCCTGGATGGATCCGAGACCTTGGCTACTACTGCTGCTGCCACTGGGCATACAGACATACTGCCACAAGGGGACAGCATTGTCCACGGTTTCCTCTGCTTGTAAGAGATGAAGCTCTGCTGGCCCACTCCAGGCCAGAGATGAATGCTGTGGCGCATTCTCTTATTTTTGAATGTTTTCCCCTTCCTCTGCATCCAGATGATTTTAACCCTGTTAAAGGACAAGAAAGCCAAATACTTTTTCTGTTGAGTATGAATAATAATCAAGACATCAATTCAATCAATGCAATTTTTTTAACCCGTTTATCCAGGAAGCACAGGTGATAGATAGGATGAGTTTTTTTTGTTACTTGTAGTAAATATTATAGAGAATATGATCAAATTCACTTTGTCAATTATGTTTCTGTGTTCTTCATGTATTTGTTTACAAGTGTACTTGACCTGAAATGTTTCCCTCAATGATCCATAATTCATTGGATTTCATTTGAAAATGAACTACACTAATTATATAAACTTAGGCCTGGAGGTCATATCTGGGTAATTTATACACATTTCATTTGAATTCTTAACTGCAGTTTGAAAAATGATACGTGTAGCTTTGACACGCTTGATCACAGGTACAGCACTACCTCAGATATTTAGTGGGAAATCGATGCTACACGCTTTTTATAGTTGCCCACTAGAAAAGCCTGAGATAATTATTTGTATTTTTAATCAGTGGAATGTTCAAATAAAAATGCGAACCCAATGCTGTACTCTATTGAAAAAGGGATGTTAATAATTTCATATTTTAAAATGGGGAAAACCTTTTTGTATTTATCTTTGGAATACAACAATAACTAATTTCTAAATAATGATCTACATATATTTTCAAACTGAAATATTTTCACAAGTTTAAAACATTTGTATTGCTTTGCCACCATTATACCATGTTTACGGCTGTATTGCATGCTACAAAGGGAGAGTTTGTGGAATATATGTTAGCAATTTTTTTTTTTTTACGCTGCATTGATTTTACAAAAGCAAGGCGCAAAACCACAAATCTATACCACAGATTTGTTGTAATTTTTATTTTTACAAATATTTTTACCAACCATGATAATTGATGTTGCATTTGATTTGGAAGTACTTTGTCTGGAGAGTGTGCCATGCAATGGAGTCTTAATGGACATGTGGCATGAATGGATCAGGGGCTTCTGAATAATTTTTATTTTGCTGGTTGAAATGATTTTTACATGCATATCATGTAAGATGCTAGGCACTTCGGGATATGTTCTTCTTATTGCATTTTGTAAAGCCCCTGATTATTTCTCTGAGGTATGACTTTATATCTACTGTTCTCTTTATACATGAATATGAATAAATGATTTAGTATGGTGTGTAACGGTTCATGTAAATTGTACATATTCAGTTTATTTCCATTTATTTGTACATAATGTCTTTGAATATGAATTGTTTCTAAAATGATACTTTCCCAATTTTAAGGGAATGTTGTGCAATAAAGATGCCAATGTTGTAGATGCAAGTGTCTCAATACATACTTTCAGTATTAATGTTTCAGTCCAAATTCATGTTTCATTTCAGTAAGAATGATGCCAATTAAAAGGGAAATGGCGAACAAAATTACTGCAGCTTACTGCATTACCTTTTTCACATAGGGAAGTGCCTTGGGAGCTTTTTTAATAGCCTGGTCACTAAAGAGCCTTTAATATCATGGGTTGACTTTAATTTTAGTTACATTGAGCGGTTTTCAACATGCCAAAAAACTGTTAAACAACGAAGGTTGGCATTGTCACTCACGGTCTCGTGCATGATTTAGGCATTAAATCGTATATAAATTCAATCAGACCAAATAAATGCCTTGAAGGGTTGTTGGATTATATGCCCTTAACCCCCTTGAGTCATTTCAATCTAAATTACATTTAAAAAATCCCTATCAAAATCCATCAATGTAAGCGAGATGTTTTTTTTTCTTTGCATTGGATGTGTCTCAATCCACCGCATCTGCCAGTGTCGCACTTCCACATCTGCATTGAAGGGTGGCAGAGCGAAGAGCGGTGTTTCAGAACATGAGACATCCCGAAAATTGGTCTTATCACAAAAACGTCTGTAGTGTCCGAACGGTTTGACCTCGTCTGAAGTCGGTACTGTCGATGTGTCACCTTCTGTTTGGACTACAAACTAATTGGACCCCACTGTGGAAAGGGGAGATTCTCAAAAAGGGGTTAAATATGTGTAAATATATATTTCATGAGTTTTGAATGTGTTATTCAATGCATTTCTTTGGGCTTTAGTAGTCAAGGCCAAAATCTATATTTTGTCCCCAAATTTTTTTATATATATTTTTGATACCTAAAGGGGTCCTAAAATTCTGAATCACATAGCTAAGTGATCCATAGTATGACCATCTTAAACAATTCCATATGTCAGTTTAGCTCCCCCCCCCCCCCCCCCCCCAACAACGTCTTAGTCTTACACTCTACAAACTACTTTGGATGCTGTTGTGCTGGCCGGCCGCCCAACAACCTGCCCGCTTGACCCTATCCCCTCCTCTCTTCTCCAGACCATTTCCGGAGACCTTCTCCCATCTCACCTCGCTCATCAACTCATCCTTGACCGCTGGCCATGTCCCTTCCGTCTTCAAGAGAGCGAGAGTTGCACCCCTCCTCAAAAAACCTACACTCGATCCCTGCTCACTCTTGGATTGCGTCCTACCTGACGGGTCGCTCCTACCAGGTGGCGTGGCGAGAATCTGTCTCCGCACCACGTGCTCTCACCCTGGTGTCCCCCAGGGCTCAGTTCTAGGCCCTCTCCTATTCTCTCTATACAACAAGTCACTTGGCTCTGTCATATCCTCACTTGGTCTCTCCTATCATTGCTACGCAGACGACACACAATTAATTTTCTCCTTTCCCCCTTCTGATAACCAGGTGGCGAATCGCATCTCTGCATGTCTGGCAGACATATCTGTGGATGTCGGATCACCACCTCAAGCTGAACCTCGGCAAGACGGAGCTGCTTTTCCTCCCAGGGAAGGACTGCCCGCTCCATGATCTCGCCATCATGGTTGACAACTCCATTGTGTCCTCCTCCCAGAGTGCAAAGAACCTTGGCGTGACCCTGGACAACACCCTGTCGTTCTCCGCTAACATCAAAGCGGTGACCCGATCCTGCAGGTTCATGCTCTACAACATTTGCAGAGTACGACCCTACCTTACACAGAAAGCGGCACAGGTCCTAATCCAGGCACTTGTCATCTCCCGTCTGGATTACTGCAACTCGCTGTTGGCTGGGCTCCCTACCTGTGCCATTAAACCCCTTCAATTTTATCCAGAACGCTGCAGCCCGTCTGGTGTTCAACCTTCCCAAGTTCTCTCATGTCACCCGCTCCTCCGCACACTCCACTGGCTTCCAGTTGAGGCTCGCATCTACTACAAGACCATGGTGCTTGCCTACGGAGCTGTGAGGGGAACGGCACCTCCTTACCTTCAGGCTCTGATCAGACCCTATACCCAAACGAGGGAACTATGTTCATCCACCTCTGGCCTGCTAGCTCCCCTACCTCTACGGAAGCACAGTTCCCGCTCAGCCCAGTCAAAGCTTTTCGCTGCTCTGGCACCCCAATGGTGGAACAAGCTCCCCCACAACGCCAGGACAGCGGAGTCACTGACCACCTTCCGGAGACACTTGAAACCCTACCTCTTTAAGGAATACTTGGTATAGTATAAAGTAATCCTTCTTCCCCCACCCCCCATAAAAAAAAATAAAGGTGGTTGTCCCACTGGCTATCATAAATTGAATGCACCAATTTGTAAGTCGCTCTGGATAAGAGCGTCTGCTAAATGATGTAAATGTTATTATTTTCACTGCTGTCAGTGATGGAAAGTAATATGTTTCTCTCGCGATATTCTGGACATCAACGAGGGAGTGAGCGCAACGTTTTCCACTAGTTACCACAGCCACAAAGTCAACATTTGCTATATCGTTTAAACCCATGAAAACAAAAATCTGCTTTTTGGTCTTAATTTAAGGTTAGAGTTAGGCATAAGGTTAGTAGTCTGGTTAAGGTTAGGTTTAAAATCACATTTTAAGAAGTTAAAATGTACAGTTTATGACTTTGTGGCTGTGGTAACTAATGACGACCGAGCGCAACAAGGAGTGACTTTTTTAATGCATAACAAAAACCGACTCCCAGCTACCTGAAGCTGATAGACTAATATTTTATTTATGCAGGAGCTTAACACGTGTAGTGTAATATCTTACAGTATAGAAAACAGTTGGCTTGATTTTGCAAGAAGGACAGAGAGTTGGTGGCTCTGAAAAACACTTCAAAACCGAGGGTTTATCAGCTGATGAGATTGGTTTTTGAGAACTGGGAGGAGTGAGGAAACGTTAGCAGCTATCCCACAGATAGAGTAGCCTGTTGCTCAAGGCAAGCTGAAGAAGTGAAGGGCTAGTTTGCGCATTATCTACTGTTTTACTATTAACTTCCTTTTGATGTACGTTTTGTTGAATAATATAACGTTATTACTGTTTTATTTTTTATACACTAGTCGCAGCTCGAGCGCAATTTGTTCGATAGCCTCCTCTGCGTTCTTGAGCTGTCAATGAACAGGAGGGATCAAAGATTCGACTCCGGCGTCGAGACAGAAATCAACTCGTCCCAAATGAAGAACTGATGATCAGAGGGAGGCAACTTTCTAACTGGATGCTAAAGATGCATCTCGTTCTACACAAGGATTTTCACATCCATTTTTGTATTATTTACTTTTGGTAAATTTTATGGGGAACAGTTGCGTTCTAGAGGTTAGTCTTGTGGTCATTTTTACAAGGCATTTTCACTCCATGCTCGGGCGAGGAAAGAGCAACAGGATGGAAGTTTAGCGGTA